GTCTCTTTGCCTCTCTCCCTCTCTCCTCTTTTTTCTTTATTGCTTCCCTTTCTACTGCTCTCCCTTCTCTCTTTCTTTATTTCTCTTCCCTTTTTCCTTCTCCCCTCTCTCTTTCTTTATTTCTCTTCTCTCTCTCCTCATCTCTTACCTTCTTCTCATTTATAATCATGATCAGTAGTTCCTTTACGTTCCTGCATCACAACAGACAGAACAGTGTAACGATTCTAAGAAGAAAGAAAGAAAGCCGCGCGAGAGAGAGAGAGAGAGAGAGGGAGATGCGCGAGGGAAAGCAACAAGAAGCGAAGGCGGGGAGAGGGGGAGAGAACCCCTCTAGCCCGCGTCTCCCAACTCTATGTGCTTAAACCACGGCTATACCCGCACGCCCTATACCAGTGCCGGACTGGCGATCGGGAGCACCGGGAGTTTTCTCGGTGGCCTGGCCTGCTAAGTGGCCTACCCCCAACAAAATTAATATTAAATTTAATTAATTTTCCTGGTGGGGGAGTCCGGGATCCAGACCCCCGCTTAAAAAAGTGGCCTGACTGCGGGCTATATTTCGCGCTAATTTCCCGGCCTGTAATGATTTTTCCAGTCCGGCCTGCCCTATACGATAGCTATATTACTATACACATCCACCTCCGCCCACGAGATTTGTATCGGAGAGTCTGACCAGTCGCCGCAGCCTTTATTAAAATTGCGTGTTACCTGTGTTTGCTCAGCGAGTATGTGTTGCTCCTCGTCCGCCTCGGGGACCAGGGGCAGTCTCTCTTCTCTCTCTCTCTCTCTCTCTCTCTCTTCTCTCTTTCTCTCTCTCTCTCTCCAGCTGCTGCTGCTGCTGCTGGTTGCTGCCGTGCTGTGCTGTGTGCAGTGGAATGCGTTCGGCCAATTCTCGCCAGAATTATACCTTTCCTCTCTCTCTCTCTCTCTGTGTCTTTCTTTCTCTCCATCTCACATTTCAGTTCGACTCGCTACACCGTGAGGAGGACACACGCCCCACCGCACCCCCGCCCACCACCGCAGCATCCACCCCGCGACACTCTACCATGAATCATCGCGCCCACGCGCCCGTGCGCATCGCCGGGGAAACGCCGGCGGGCAGTGCAGGGTACGGCGGCGGGCGTGGGTGAGCGCCGAGAGAGATCGAGAGAGAGAGAGAGAGAGATACGGGACACTCGCGCAGCGCGCTAGCTGGCAGCGGTGGCAGCCGATGTGTGGAGAGTTGGTTATAGCAGACGAACGCTCGCACCGCTCCAACAGTCGCTGACGGACAGCTCGCTAGAAACCCGCACGGCAGCAGCATCGCATCGCATCGCAAAGCAATACATAACGACGGACTCACTTTCTTCCTCGTTGCCTCGCCATCCATCTGTGTGTGTTACTGTGAAAGCAGCCGAGAGGAGAATATCAACGTAGAGCGAGAGGAAGGCCGTAAGAAAAGGGAGAAGTAACGAGTGAAAGAGAGGGGGAAGTGAAGAGTGAAAGAGAGGGAGAAGTAAAGAGTGAAAGAAAGAGAGAATCGTGCGCGAAGGGAGAATGTGACATCCCGACCATGTGAGGGAGAAAGAGAGATAGACAGATAGACAGAGAGAACGAACGAACGAAAAAAAGAAAGATCGACGGAAAGAGAGTGGGAGATCAGCAGCGAACGTCTGTGACGTTGACGATATCGTCAGTGGCGTCGTAGCCGTTTGGATATATATATATATGCGTACGTATATATCGGTGGCGCATCGTGACATCATGCCGACACCTCGAACCATCGTCATCGTCGTCGTCGTCATGCTGGTGTCGCTGCAGCCGGCAGTCGGTTACACCGGCACGTGGTGGTGAGTATATATTCACTATAGCAAGAGCGTTAAACCTTCTTTATACGCTCCTGACTATATACCTTGTAGGTATAGTTGGCAAACAAGGGCATTTAAATATATAGTCAAATAAAAAGAAGAAGTACTTAGAGATGCGATCAGAGAAAAATTCTTCATTTTTGGTAAATTTATAATTATATATTAATTTACTACTTTCTACTGTTTTTTACTACTAGATTTAATTGAGCAAAAATTACAATAAATATTTCGAGAAGAAACAGAAGAGACAACGAAGACAACGAAAATGTAATTAATTCCAGATAACGTTTCTATTTTTGCAATTTGCATAGACAATGATATGATATAATAATTATAATAGTCTAAACAGAGAATATAATTAACAGAAATGTGTTGGATAGAAACGTATAAATTCCTACTAGGGCAAATTTTAAAGATATATAGGAAAGCATAGTGNATATATATATATAGTATATGTAGTTACAATGGTACTGGTGTTTTCAACTTACCAGGTTTAGTGCACAGGAATTCTTCATATGCGTCTTTCTCTCCCTATCTCCGGTTATATACGATATATTTAATATTAGGCATATTGTACGGTATCTATACTATAATTTGGCTAATCTTGTGTGTGTGTCAGCGGTATAACTAATAATATACGGTATTATTAGCTCTTGGATATATATATAAATATATATATATATATATAATAAATTATATGTTTATGTTTGTTAACTTTACACAGTTTCAAATCGTTTTTAGAATAATCTCGCAGAAAATTTAAAAAAGAAAATAATTATATTTTCATAATAATTATTCGTTAATTATTAAAATAAAATTGAAATTGAAAAAATTAAATCATGAAATTGATAAAAGTTAAAACATACAAATATATATATATAATATATATATATATATATATATATATTATATAGGCCTATATATATATATATGAGCGAATTGAATGCGTCGGTGATGCATGAGTTTCCACACTACATTTCAGAAATTTTCCTGGACCCTATACATGATTACTACCGGCTATCTCTGTGGTACTATTCCACCTCCTAATAAAATAATTTTAAGAGGTTGCTGGTCATGCAACATTTCTGAATTAACGAGGGGAGAATGTCTAATTCTCTGATTAACCCATAATGAGAAATCACTTAAGTATTAATACAAAACAAGTAAGTTATTCGCCCGTGATACTAATTACTGATAAATAACATCGTTATGATTTGATTTATTAATAATGATCGTTAATTAATTGAGAATATTCATACGCCGCCATCTAGCGGTGTGTTACGGCGGGGCGTTAGCAATGCAGGCAGATGCTGCTGATTCTGTATGTATATATGTATGTATGTTATGTATGTATGTATGTATGTATGTATGTATTGATGTTATGTATGTATGTATGTATGGTATGTTATGTATGGTAGGTATGTATGTATGTATGTATGATGTAGATGCTATGTAATGCTATGTATGATATGTATGTAGTAGTATGCTATTAGTATGTATGTATGTTATGTATGTATGTATGTATGTATTGTATGTATGTATGTATGTATGTATGCTTATGTATGTATGTTATGTATTGTATGTATGTATGTATTATGTATGTATGATGTATGTATGTATGTATGTATGTATGTATGTATGTATGTTGTATGTATGGTATGCTATGATATGTATGTATTGTTTAGTATGTATGTATGTTATGTATGTATGTATGTATGTATGTATGTATGTATGTATGTATGGTATGTATGTATGTATGCTATGTATGTATGCTTATGTATGTATTGTATGTATGTATGTATGTATGGCATGCAGTGCATGCATGCATCATGCATGCATGCATGCATGTATGATGTATGTATGTATGTATGTGTATGTATGTGTATGGACAGATAATTCATACGTCATAATTCATAACAGATTATGTTACCTCGCGTTGACGTATGGAATTCTATAGACATACAGACGTGTATGGAATCATATAGACATACAGACGTATAATATGGAATCCTATAGATACAGCGATACGGTGATACATTGATTACAAGTGATATTATGAATCAGTCAACGAAATCAAACACAAACAACGATTGAAACGTTCTCCCATGAATAATATCAATTTTCATAATTTTACTCTCTCACACATTCTCTCACTCACATGCGCGCGCACGCACGCACACACGCGCACGCACACGCACACGCACACACACATATACATATACACACACACACACACACACACCACACGCACACACACACAACACACACACACACACACACACACACACACACAACGAAAAGCACAATCACCACACGCAGTCGCATGGCATGCACGCCACGCACGCACGCACGGCACTGCACGCACGACACACACACCACACCACACACACACACACACATACTCCCTCGCCCTCTCTCATTTCGTATGCGAACAACGCGGTCTAATCATCACAAAGGCAAATACGAAACAACAGATCGCACCAAAGGCGCCACTGTCAAAACACGCATGCTTGTCTTTCGCTCTCTCTCTCATCTTCTCTCTCTCGCTCTCTCTCTCTCTCTCTCTCTCTCTCTCTTCTCGCTCTTTTCTCTCTCTCTTGGTCTTCTTCTCTCTCTCTCTCTCTCTCTCTTTTCTCTCTCTTCTCACTCTCTCTCTCTCTCTCTCTCTCTCTCTTCTCTTCTCTCTCTCTTGCTCTCTCTCTCTCGCTCTCTCTCTCTCTTTCTCTCTTCTCTCTCTTCCTCTTGCTCTCTCTCTCTCTCTCGCTCTCTTTCTCTCTCTCTCTCTCTCTCTCTCCTCTCTGCTCTCTCTTCTATCTCTCTCTCATCTATTACGGTGTGATCGACCCGCTCCCTGCATACCAGTTCCTCCGCTACGTAAGCTAGGGTATATATTACTATATATATATATAATATATGTATAAAAGTGTATATATATATAACGTATATGGTGTATATATATATATATATATATATAATATATATAGTATATATATATGATGCGGCTGTTGTGCTAAGTCGGCGGTGCCGGTATGGCTGTAAGACCGTGCTTATGTAGCTGCCGCCATAGGTTGCACGACAATTGCGTGACACGCAGTGCGCAGGAAGCAGCGAATGCCGACACTGTACGATGGTAGTATATATATACGTCTATATATATATTATATATATACTATACTATATATATACTTATATTCGGCGATTCATTTTGACGTCCTGCCTTCATCCTCTCTCTCTCTCTCCTCATCTCTCTCTCTCTCTCTCTCTCCTCTCTACTCTCTCTCTCTCTTCTCTCTCTCTCTCTCCTCTCTCTCTCTCTCTCTCTCTCTCTCTCTCTCTCTCTCTCTATCTCTCTCTGACTCTCTCTCTCTTCATGTCTCTTTCTCTCTCTCTCTTTCTGCTCTATTCTCCCTTCTCTCTCTCTCTCTCTCTCTCTCTCTCTCTCTCTCTCTCCCTCTCTTACTCTCCTTCTCTTCATGTCTCTGTCTCATCTCTCTCTCTCTCTTTCTCTCTCTCTCTCTACTCTCTCTCTCTCTCCTTCTGTCTCTCTTTCGCGCGCTCTCTCATCTTATCTATCTCTCTCTCTCTCCTCTCTCTTCTCTCTCTCTCTCTCTTCATTCCCACCTTCTCTTTCTCTCTTTTCGCGCTCTCTCGTCTCTCTCTCTTCTCTCTCTCTCTCTCTCCTCCTCCTCTCTTTCTCTCTCTCTCTTCACTCCCCCTCTCTCTGTCTCGACACGCAGCGAGTAACGACACCTTGTATCGTGCTACGATATTGTACGTGCGACATATTATTTACATGCTACGAACAGTATTATTACATGCTACGAAAACATATTATGACATGCTACGACATATTATTACATGCTACGACATATTATAACATTATAAACGCCACGATATAGCAGCGAGATAAAGCGTAGCATTCATTCGCTTAGTATGCCCACATCGGCTCAGCCGCCGTATCAAAAACAATTGACTGCCGCGGTGAACTCTAGGCGGAATCTCAAGAGGATATTTGTAGGGATTATAAGTGGCTTTGCTGTCGGAGTCGAGAGATGCTTCGCTGTGGCAAGCGTGCTTGAAGCTAGCAGGGGAACTGTTTCGGTATGAATTCCTCTTGTTGTTCGAACTGTTGCACGTCTGCTGCCTGGGGAACGCACGCTGATGTTCGCTGTATGATGGTTGTCGTGCTGTGCATGTGTGTGTGCTGCTGTGCCCGATTGCTGTGTGTGTGTTGTGTGTGGCTGTGTGCTGTCTGTGTCCCGGGTGGCGTGCTGTGCGCGTGCGTGCGTGCGCGTGTGCTGGGTATGTTATAACATCAAATCATAAAGTCACATGTACAGAACACAGTCTCTCACCGACTGCGCGCTGTTCTGCCGCGTCTGTTTATAAACTCGTCGGCAAAAGGCTAATATACTTACAAAAGCGCACACGCACGCACGCACGCACGCACGCACGCACGCGCGCGTTCAGAGCTTTAACTTTCTTCGAAATTGCGATCTGGACGAATCTCTGGGGGGGAAAGTAAAAAGGCCTGCGGTTCCTCCCGTGACATCGACACTGGCCGCTTTAGTATAGCTTATATAAGCTAGCAGAGGTTCTATTGCTTTCCCGTGGCTTGTGCTGCCGCTGCAGACACACACGGACGCCCTATTCATGTGCAGGCGTTTTGTAAGGCAAAACGAGCAACAATCCAACGTTATTGCCCCCTACAGTGCGAACAGGCGCCTGTTAATCGCTGGTCTTACTTCTCTCGAAACAGGGGAGAGCCGGGAGAAGAAGGGGAGAGGGAGGGATGAGAGGCGGAGAGGGTGAGAGACGGAGAGGGAGGGAGACGGGAGGGAGAGAAAGAATGGAGAGAGACAATGACAGCGACAGCGAGAACGCCGAAAAAAAGCACGAACACACGCACGCCACGCACCACACACACACATATACACACTGGCGCTGCGCGCACAGCAGCAGATGAGAGAGCCGGGAGAGAGAGGAGGAGAGAGAAACGGAAGCGGAGAGGAAGAGCAGAGAGAGGAAAAGCATGAGCGAGAAAGAAGAGAGTAGAAGCCAGAAGCCGAGAAAGAGAGAGAGAGAGACTGAGAGGCAGGGTGGAGAGATGAGAGAGATGAGAGAGAGGAGAGCGAGAGAGAGCACGTGACCTTCATACGTGAGTGACAGGAGAAAGGAGGAGAGAGAGAGAGCAGAGAGAGAGGATGGAGCAAGAGAACGAGAGCAGAGAGAAGAGAGAGTAACATTAGGCAGTACCACAAAGGCTGACTGCTGTCGCCGCGGCGCCTGTCGTGAGTGGACTTTAATTATGTGTCTCACATGCCCACATACAGTTCACTATGTACAACCAACAATAAATACCTAGATTAATTCTCTCTTACTGACTGCTGTGAGAGAGAGAGTGCTCGAGAGATATAGTTTAGACAGTCAAGATATAGATAATTAGAGAGAGAGAAGAGCGAGAAAGAGCGAGAAAGAGTGAGACGAGAGCGAGAGCGAGCGAGCGAAGAGAGAGAGAGAGAGCGCGAGCGACTCGCGAGAGAGAGAGCCAGAGCAGACCGACGACGAGCGAGAGAAGATGCGCGCGAGAGCAGAGAGCAGAGAGAGAGAGAGAGAGAAAGAGAGAGATAGGTAGAAACACAGAGACGGCAGGAAACAGAACACGCGAGAGACTTTGAGAGCGAATTAGACATTAACGCGTCCCCTCTATCTCACTCTCCCCCCATCTCCTTCCTCCACAGGAACCTCTAACCTTCTAACTCTTCCCCCATCTTCATCCTCCACAGGAACCTCGGCTACCAAGGCTTCGACATCCTCAAGAACCCACAATTCTACCTCGTCGGCGCTCAGCCTGCCTGCAGCACGCTCTCCGGTCTCTCTCCCGGACAGACGAAACTCTGCCTCCTCTACCAGGACCACATGAAGTCCGTCGGTAGGGGCGCTCGCATCGGCATACAGGAGTGCCAGCATCAGTTTCGCTATCGGAGATGGAATTGCAGTACGGTCGCCGACCCGACTGTGTTCGGGCCCGTGATGGACATACGTAAGTACGACAGTGGCTTCCTTTTCTTCCTCCTCTTCCGCTTCCATTTCTTTCCCGGCTCCTCTCATGTTCTCAAAGTCTTCTTCGTCTTCTTCTTCTTCTTCTTCTTCTTCTTCTTCTTCTGGTTTTTCTCCACTTCTTGCTCGCCCCCTTCCTCCTCTGCCTCCGCGTCCTCCTGCCCCCTCTCATTATCCTCCGGCTCCTCCTCCTCTTTTTCCTTCTCTTCCTCCTCCTCCTTCCCATCCTCTTGCTCTTTCAAGCTCTGCTATTAGGTTCAAGCACATCTCTCCCTCTTTCTTTATTTCTCTCTCGCGCGTATATACGTATAGAAATAAATGAATAAACACACACAGATTATATTATATATATATCTATATATCTATATCTATATCTATATATATATATCTATATCTATATATATATATATATATATACGGTACCACCACCACACAAACAAGCTTGTACAGTCAGCCGCTTGAGTATGGCGGTCACATGCGCCCGTGTGTAATAAGTATATAGCCTTGCTGCTAAAGCCCATAGGTAAAGATATATACACAACTAACCTAAATACCTAAGCACGACAGTCAATATAACTAAAGCTGTACATGATTGGGCACATGCGCAATACAAGGGGAACACCCAGCTATATTACTTTAACCGTTAGTGATGCGCGCTGCCAGGTGTGTGCGTGGAATATATATATATATATATATATATATATATATAGAACGTAACAATAAGAATAAG